CATTGCACAATAAAAGCAGGTCAAAGTGCTTGCCTGTCAATTGTTTCCACAAATAAACATTTCTCTTTGTCAGCAGTTTAAACTGCAGTATTTCTCTGACATTGGCCGTGCACCTGAATCTAGAAGAGTGGAGAGTTGCATGTTTAAGTCTGAGAGTGTACGAAGAGTAACAAGAATAAAATATGCTTTTCTGCTGTTGTTGTCTGAACTCTTCACTGCCTGAGGCTCTCTGTTGAGATCTTGGGAGCGAAATCTAGGAGGATCTCCAAAGATGACACTCTGGAATGATTTCAGCATTTGTTTGCTACAAAGTCCACAGTCCTACAGTTGTGGCACTTAATAACTAATTCAGAGATCTGTACTTTAGCAATGCAAGTCTTGGCCACATGCCCTATAGCTCCACAGTAGAGTTTTCTACCGTGTTTTCTCCTTCTCTGTTTTTCTGCTGTGGACAAAACCTGCTCTTATTTGTATGGCTTCTCCAGTGTTGGCATCTAAGGATTTCACTGAGTGGGGGATAAGGATGCAGAGAGGCTGTGAAATTTTCCATATTCTTTCCTCAGTGTCTCAACTTTTTCAATCTTCCATCAATATTGTAAGCCACCCAGAGTCACTTGAATGAATTGAGTGGCTATAGAAATACATAAATTAAAAGGAAAAAAAATGTGCCACAGAACATTTTGACAATATGCCTTGCCCCACTCATCTCTCAGTTCATCAGCAAGTCCTTTCCCAAACTGGTCAATCAGAATAAGATTATTCCATTCCATATTTCTGTTTTATGATTGAAATCTGGTAGATACTCATGAAATCTGTGATCACCTGCTTTAGCTTGTGAAACGTCCGAATTTTATTTATTTATTAAATGTGTTTGCCACCCATCTCGCCGTGAGACAATTTGCTGTAACTCTCCTTTCTGAATCATCAAAAGTCTAATATTTGAATGAAGATCTGATAATTATCCAGCAATGGATTAATGCTCTCAAGGCACAGCCAACTGGTTATTCCTCCTTTCTGCAGACTCAAAGGAAAAGCAATATATAAGCACTGTTCAGGACATTCTGTTGTCCAGCCCACTATAAACAATTCATTTGGATTCTTAGAGTCAAAAATTGATCCTGAAGTCCTCCAAACTTCGATGAGAATAACATTGTTTGGTCAGAAGTGTTTTGAGTCTCTTCTAGCTGAGCGAAATTTTGACACAATTTCTATGTTAGATGTACCACATCATTGTGCAGGTTTGTTATATATATATATAATCACTTGCTGTTGATGCTATGACCATGTTCAGCAACTCATCTTTCAGACAACGGGATGCCTCAAATATCAAATGAGCATTTCATCCAAAATGTTCTATTATAAAGAGGTGAGACTTTCAAGCATGATGTCAGCTTTTCAAAGCTGGTCAGGAACAGACAACTGAAGGGCTATCAGAATTCCACTTTATTGTTATGGGATATTATAAAAGAATCTTGAACGCCTACTAGGATATTCTCTTGTCCCCTCTTATACAAAAATAAAAGATCAGAGTAATATTTTTTTTCCTTTCTCTTCCTCTCTTCCTTCCCAAGGTTACATTGTTGTTTACCTAACAGTTTCTGCATTCGTCTATGGAGATTCTTAGTCATTCAGGTCACGGTTGTCCCAAAGGTGTTTTTTCGAGAGGCAACTGGACTTCCTGGTTTTTCTTTTGAAGACGTTTCACTTCTCATCCAAGAAGCTTCTAAGTGAAACATCTTCAAAAGAAAAACCAGAAAGTCCAGTTGCCTCTTGAAAAAGCACCTTTGGGAGTTCTTGTATTCCTCCTTTGTTGTGGTTTATCATACTCCTTTACACTACTTTTGTAGATAGCTTCATGTTCTTCTAAAAATTGTGTAATTGCTCTTGAGTATTATCTGGTTAACAAAATACAATAAATTGTAAAAGTGCTTATAGTATGATTTGTATAAACAAATTAAACATTTGATACTGATACAAAAAGAATTTGTGTAAATAATAGAAGCTGTTTGTTGGTGTAATGATACCAATACATAGAATTCATCAGGCTAGTAGTTTACAATCATCTTTATAAGTATCTTTGGAGATAAAATACTATCATCTTAACAATCAAGACTTGATCTCAAAAGAATATCAAAGGAATGCCCTTTGTCTTTCATGTTTACATTCAGCAAGTTAGGAGACAATTACTTTGTCAATATCATTGATTTTGAATTTTTGGGGTGTTTCATTTAAATCACACAGCAATTTTTCAAGCTTGTCATGATGCTTATCCTTGATGTCTATGGAGATTCTCAGTCATCCAAGTCATGGTTGTCCCAAAGGTGCTTTTTTCAAGATGCAGCTGGACTTTCTGGTTTTTCTTTGAAGACATTTCACTTCACATCCAAGAAGCTTGTCCAACAAAGAGCTGAAGAATCTTCTTGGATGAGAAGCGAAACATCTTCAAAGAAAAACCAGAAAGTTCAGGTGCTTCTTTTGGGACTTATCCTTGTAGGCATTTCTAGATGAAGTAACGGTGTATTACATTTTCCATTTCTATTTAGTTTGATTACAGTTTGGGAATGGCAACACCAATTAACATAGACTTCTTCTGCAGGATATGTTCATTTATCAGAATATTGTTTCTACATGCCCTTCTCTGTGACACTGTGTCATCTGAACATAAATAGTAAAAAACATCAAGCGTATCAGAAATATATTGCTGCAGACTATGGACTTCTTTCAATGTGTATAAAATAAAGGGTCAACGGACCTCAATTTGTTCTTGAGTGGGTAAAAGAAAGAGAAAATATAGCCCATGTCTTGGATTTTTAAAATATTTTTCAATATGGTTTTCGTTTATCATGTCCAATTCCAATTTTCCGTAACTAGGGCATTATACAGTACTTTCATAGGTAAAATTAAAATTGATTTTCCAGGGATGCACACACTCAGGCTTTGTGATATGACAGCCAGATGATTGCTTAAAACCATTTGCAACTCAAACAGAATGTATCAAATACATGATCTTTTTTTTTTAGTAAGCTTGCACAAACCCATGATTTTTTTAAAAAAGAAAAATAGGCCTATTATCTACTTAGATATGTAATATTTATTCTTTTTTCCTACTATAGTGGAATATACTTTTTTCCTATAGTAGAAAATTTACTAAAGGATATAATGTATTTTGAATTTGATTATTTAGAACTCACCCCTGTATAATCTACACATTTGCATGTATTAAAATCTAATTTTTTTAAAAAAAATCATTTTTGTAATAATTTTATTGAAAATAACATATACACATCAAACTAATACAAACTACAAAAATGAAAAGATAAAAATCGAATGTGCAAAGAAAAAAAGGGAACAAAAAGAAAGAAAGAATCCATCCTGGTGAATATGAACAACTTTAATTGCCATTTCTTAAAATACAATAAACAATACCTTCATCCTATATCTCATCTCATTCTCTATGAACAAATCTTTAAAGTTTTATTCTCCATCCCAATCAGCAAAAGTTCATTCTAGATTCTTTGAAATCCAGACAATTTTCCTATCTTGTATTTCTTTCATTGATGCTTTTGTTTAATTTTAATTTGAAATTCAGTTCATTTAAAGAAATGGTCAGTTTTCAGAATCAAGCATTCTTTTAGTGAGAAAAGTAACAGGTCACTTTAACTCAATGATTATAGAGTTTGGACTTTGAATGTGTAACTAGAGAGGTTTTCTGAAATTCTAATCTGTTCCATTCATTGTTGCAAACCTTAACATAAAATCTTGTCAAATTTAATCAGATAATGGTACTTCTCTTTCTGTCTGCATAACATATATATCTCTTGTAAGGAAGGTTCTCTTCTCTTTGTATATCTTTTATGAAAACAATGTCAAATACTTTATAAAAAAATCAATAGTTCAATTCTATAATAACATTTTCATTCTATTACCTAAAATCAATCTGTAAAATTTTTTAAAAAATGATTATTATGGTTCGTTTTATAGTCAAGCAGATGATTAGACTGGATTTGGCACCTTTATCCATCTATCGAGTTCTTTCTAAGCACCTAGACAGATGTCACTGTTGATGGTGCTGAAAATACTGGTTGCAGGACGTAAGCTGTTCCAAGTAAACTTGCATTTTGCAATTGACTGATGGGGATTTTGTCAATACTGATAGTGTTCAAGTGGTGCTCGAGATATTTTGGGATTACACCTAAAGTGCCTTATTAGTATTGGCATTATTTTTGCTTTATTTGCTATGTCCTATTTCTAATTTTAAGATGTTTGTATTTTGTGACACCCTCCCCCCATTTTTTTCTTTTTTATTCTGCTATTTCCAAGTATTGTAACATCTGCTATCCAGATTTTTTGTTTGTTTATTTTGGTCTTTCTTATTGACAGTTGTTAAGCCTGGTACTTGTCTGTTTGGAGTCTAAAGTCCCATAGCATTTTAGCTTCTTTATTTTCTTGTCTATTTTGTGATCCCACTAGTTCTTGCTTGCAAGCAAATAGATATTTCTTGAAGATATTCCAATGCGCCATTGTTGCTAATTTGTCATGTCATTGTTTGTAGTCAATCCGTGTGGTCTTCTTGCAACAACTAATTAGATGGTCTACTGTTTGCAAATTCAGCTTCTTTGCAGAGGCAACATTTGCTATCTGTTGCTGTCTTCTGAGTTCAAACTTTGTATGCATTTGTATGCAAGACTTGGTCTTCTGTAGCTAGAGTTACCCTCCACCCCCATCTCTCTTTTTAACTTTTCTGCTTGTAATGTTGATTCATGGTGATTGCCTGGACTGGTTCTTGCAGTTTTCTTGGTAAGATTTTCAGAAGTTGTTTGGCATTGTGTTTTCTGAGGGCTGAGAGAGAACGATTGGCCACCAAGGTCACCCAATTGGCTTCATGTCTAGTTCTAGCAGAAATAGAATTTACCAACTCCTTTTCCTTTAGTGCCTTAACCATTACACCAAGCTGGCTCCCTGGAATATAGTTATAATATATCAACTTCTAATCTGCTTACCTTGATTTAAAACTGTCTGGTGGCATGAGTTCCAATGTATGTGTTGGGCCATATAGATTGACAACATACAGCTTGACTACTGGATTCAGTTCACCTGCCTTTTAAAAAATAAAAACATTTCAGTATTGATGAAATATGAATGGAATAATTAAATACAAGTCATGTAGATATCTCATTGATATTCTATGACAGAGTATTGAGTGATCCTAATTTGATGGCCATGCATTGGCATATTCAGTAAGACTTACATTCCTGCACACTTATTTTATTTTCCTTTTTTCCTTGTGAATATAAATAACTGTATAAAATACAAAAAAGGGATGATGCTTTTATAAGGAGTAAAAGTAATTACAAAAAGTTTCCTATGCACCAGCTTGGTCTAATAGTAGTCATAAATACTACTAAACCTGCCCAGTGAAGTAAAACATTGCAAAACATAAAGTCTTAATCTATATTATTAGATCATTTGCTTAATAATTAAGGTGAATCTAAAATGAATAGAAAAATTAAATAAATGTTACAATTTATTAACAATATAAATCTGCTCACTACATAATAAATTATAGTAGACTTTTATAATTTCTTTATCATAAGTTTAATTGAATCTTAAATTTTATCCTTTGTTCTGTGTTTCTTTTGTACTGTTCAATTTGAAATTGCTGAAGAAAAGTAATATAACAGTTGTAGAAATTAATTCTGCTCCTAGCAAAAACATATGAAAAATATCCACTGATGTACATTTAATTTACATGCTGTAAAGTCATCTAACAATTTCATATTTTTAAAAAAATCAAATTAATAAATATAATTGTCAAAGAGACCCTAGTCCAGAGTAATACATTATTTAGGTTTTAAAATATATTTATTCAATTTCTAATGTTACCCACGACCAAATTACACTGGATGGAATGTAAAGGATTAAAAACAAATAATGATAAGTAAAAACAACAATAAAAAAGAAACCACGCTGGGGAGGGAAAACAGACTGATTTAACAAGTTCATGCATCATTCATCCTGACCTAAATCCATGCTAAACTACATGTTCGATTCTAACATTCACAGGTTCTTTAATGTTTTTTTAAAAAGTTTATTTATTTTACTATTCCTGTAGACTGCCACACTCCAGCGAAAGTTCTAGAAGTTTATGATAATATGTTAAAGCAATAAAACCAACAAATAATCCAAGCCCTAAACAAACTGACAGCATTCATTAGCTATTCGCCTTTGCATGCTTTTGAACTGCTAGATTGGCAGGAGCTGAGTCAAGCAATGGGAGCTCACCCTGTTATGCAATGCTTGGGTCTCGAACCTGGGCTATCTGCTTTCCAGCTGAAAAGCTTAATTTATTATATTCCCATCGTGCACTCCAGGAAATACAATAAATGAATGGATTTATTAATAACAACTAACTCTTTGAATTGTGCTGAGAAGCCTTCTGATAACTAATGCAGGCCCGAAAGCACTGGTGTTAATTAATTATGGTGGCTGTTACTTACCAGCTAATTGCTTATCACACACCAGCTGCAGCCTACAAAATCAGTCCCAGATAAAGCTCATTGCAATAATATATTCTATATATGATGATTGCATACCTGAGATGGTTTTATATCTGATATGGTTTTAGGTATATTTTGTAAAGTGGTACACATAGCATAAAGGTAGCTTTGCCTGGAGGTAAAGCATTGTTAATATATTCTACATCTTACAGTGGTTATTTGACATGATAGAAGAGATAAACAGTCTGATCTTAACCAGAGAGAAGAACTGGAATTATTTATTTGATTATTTATTTAATGTATTTTTTTTTTGTTAAATTTGTTTGCCATTGATCTCATGCCTCAACCTGCTCTGTTCAACCTGACACTGAACAGGTGACCAAAAAAAAGAGAGACTAGAATAGTTCATTAATTCACAAAAACATCCACACAAGTCTCCTGGGACTGGGAAGTCTGTAATTATATCTGGTAATAAAAAAAATTGCTTAAATCTTTTATTTTTAGCTACTGTAATAGAGTTGTTATCTTCAGCTCCAATGACTGTTTTCTTCTAGTAATTGTGGGTAAGGGAGCAATTAAATAAAGCATGCATTAATAAAAAAGAAAGTATTACTCAATTTTCTTACCTTTGGATATGGATACTGTTTTCCTTTGGGATACAAAGATCCAGTAAACCAAGGAATAAGCATATTTGGTACTAATGAGTCATTTATCATAAGGAATGCCAGCCTCTCTCCATCAGGTGACCACCAGTGAGTAATGTGTGAATGAAGCAGTTCCTCTGAGGAAAAATAAGTAAAGCCATGAAATTAGCATTTTGTATCAGATTTACCAGTAAATATTACCTTTTAGATTTCCATGGAAGGACATTTGATACATTAGTTTTATCTAAACATTTTGCTCTTAGAAACATAAAAGAAAGAACAAAGAAACTACAAAGGATGGTGTCCTTTATTTTAAATTAAATGGAATACTTCACTTTTCCCTGAAATTCACACTTCAAAATTGTTTAGCTGCACTTCTACACTCCACTGAAAAAAGTAGAATAATTTATAGAATACAAGCTAAAAATATTTCTCTTATCTTCTCCATGCAAGTTATTTCTCTTGAGGTAAAAAAAAAAACATGCATAATTGGGATTTCCATATTTTATATTCATAGTACATTTTTAAGGACATTTGAAGTAGGATCATTGTTCATATTCTTGAGTCCACCTGTTGTGAGGGTGCTGATGAGCTGTAGTTTTTGGTTTTTGCTCTGTTGACAATTGTTCATATGCAGCTGATGTTATGCTTTCTGTGGTGACTTTTATGGTAGTATACTTTTTGTTCTATGCGAATAGATTTTCTGTAAAGTTGTATTTGCAGGTTATCATCATTTAACTTAGTTATGAGAAAGTCTAAGGATGGGAATTTGTTCTCTTTATTCATCTCAATGTTTTGTTTAAAATCAACCAGTACTTCCAAGGAAGCATCAAACTACTATCCAATCTTTCAGAATTCATTGTAAGGAAATCTCCATTTCTCAACCATTGCACTAAAGAAGCCTCCCTGAAAATAATAAAACATCTGCAAAAAAATGTTGTTTCTACTTTGATATTGATCTCCCTAAGCCTAAGAGTATAAAATATTCCTGGGCTACAACTTCCCCAAGAAATATTGAAAATGTTTATCCAGTGGTGAAATCTGAACTGGTTTACTACCGGTTCGCTGGCACCATGTGCCAAACAAGTGCTGTGCGCACATATGTGCAATGCGCACAAAACCTGAGCTGCACACGCATGCACAGTGCGTGCCAAAAGGCGGCTTGGGAAGGTAAGTAGAACAGTGTGGGGGTGTGTAATCAGCTGTGGCATGCATGGGAACCTTTTAAAAAAGTTTTTAAAAGTTTTTACTACCAACTTGGGTGAACAGGTAGTAAAAAAATGTTTTAAAAAAAGTAAAAAAAAAAAAAAGGCTCCGGCGATCACGCGGCATAGCTGTGATTGTTAGAGCCTCTTTTTTTAATTTTTTAAATCAGTTTTTACTAACTATTCACCTGAACTGGTAGTAAAACAAATGCCTAAAAAGTAAAAATAATAAAAAAGAAAAGTTCTGACAATCCGTCTGAGCGATGCACGATCGTTAGAACTTTGTTTTTTTTACTTTTTAAAGCATTTTCCAGAGAACAGGTAGGAAAAAAAAATGCTAAAAAAGTTAAAAAAAAAAAACCAAGTTCTGACGATTGCGCATCGCTCAGCTGATCATCGGAACTTTTCTTTTTACATTTTTTACTACTGGTTCAGGCGAACCGGCCCGGGCGAACGAGCCCAAACCAGTAGCATTTCACCCCGGTGTTTATTCCACAATAATGTTTTTTTCCCTTGAAAGTTCAGCAAGGATAAGCTGTTTTGCGTTTAGCATCATATAGCAATTTTTATTGTGCAATTTACCTTCATATAACCAGTCTGCAATTCCATTAAAAACAATTCCTTCTTTCCCAGAAGATGTCAATCTCAAAGAGCTGCTCTTTACATCAGGCTGGTAATAGATGTTATTTTCAAATATATAAATCTATGTTGGGTAAAAAAGAATAACATGTTTTGTAATTAGTTAATATTTTCATATTCATTATCAGGAAATCCTTTCTGAAGCTAATTTTTATATCCTTCTACAATTTATGGATTACTGCAGAAGAAAAACAGGGAGAAATAGAGAAAGTATTTGTTTCTAAAACCAAATAAACTTCAACAGAAGGCAAGGTTAAGTCATACTGTAAACAGTGTAATTACAGTGTTAATTGATTTACATATTGCTACATTCTTTGCTCTAATTTTTATTATATTTATATATGTAGCCATATAGAATAAAGATTTATTCTATGTGGCTATATATAGATTTATATTGATTTATATAGTGCTTCACGGTGCTTTACAGCAGTTTACAAAGTCAGCATATTGCCCCCAACAATCTAGGTCCTCATTTTATCAACCTTGGAAGGATGGAAAGTGAGTCAACCTTGAGCCGTCAGAATCAAATCTCTGGCAGAGGACAGAGTTAGCCTGCAATAGTGCATTCTAACTACTGCACCACCATGGCTTCACAAAATATGGTGAAAATGTTGGGTTTTGGGGTGCTTTTTGTGCTTTTTTAAAACAAATATGTCAGAGTTAAATGGGAAACATGTAGTATGTTTAGACCAGGGGTGGGTTCTACTTACCCTTACTACTGGTTTATATGGTGCCCGTGCATGCACAGATCACCTATGATGATGTCCAGGTCAATGGGCGGAGCCTCCGCCGGTTTTACTACCGGTACTACCGGTTCTACCGGTTCTTGTGAACCCGCCCACCCCACCACTGGTTTAGACTGCTGGGAGCATGTAAATCATGTCTACTAGTTATGGGAATTTTTTTCAAACATATACAACAGAAACATTTCCCCCCCCCATTTCCCCCCTCCCCAAATTTCAAAAGATGGTTTAGCAGAGGCTTTCATAGAATCATTTTTTTTTAATTTTCCAAACAAAATGAAAGAATGATATTATAAATTTGACAATTATAGAACAAATATTAACACAATATATTGTCTAAATTAATCATTAAAACATATAAACCCATGCATATACAACATGGCATTATAGGTTGTTCAACAGTATTATGTAATATTTTTCAATTTTATCTCATACTTGAAGTGTCCATAATTCTTGATATCTGCACTGGTCTTAGTCATTATATTTATATATTCAGTTTTTATTGTCTGCCCACTTCACAAGGACTTGAGGCAACTCAGATCGGGCATCAATTGCTATCATTCATGTTACAATCTACCTATTTCAAAGCAAAGTAACAGGATGAGCGAAAACCATTTTAGTAAATCATTCAGTTCTTGAATTGCATCTCAGAAGATTTTATGCAGCTGCTTTGAGTCTCTTCCCAAGTCCTCTAGTCTAAGCAAGCAGAAGATTGATAGAAGACACTTTTGTTGAAAAAAAACAATGAAGTAAGGTGCCATCTCTGGGGCACTTGGGGCAGTAGTAGCAACTAAGCTCCTTTCTCCTTTTGAGAACAAATGTATGTGTTCTTGTATATTTTCAAACTAACCTGTTGATCTTAGTTATGAAGGAACCAATCCTTCTACCAATACTAAAATACCATTCAAATGCTAACCAGTTGATTTTGTTACATGGAAAGAAGTTCTTCTTAACTTTTGCCTCAAGCAGCAGAATGACTTTTCATTGGCCTTGCTTGTAAAGAGAATAATTAAATGCAACCTGTGAACAAGCTGATTCTACAGTTAATAGAGCTTAAATTAATTAAGAGTTCTGTATTTGAAAATTATTAATTTAGATGGAATTTCTGTTTTCTAAGGGAATGAAAAGGTGCTTTAATTAATGTTTCATACTTTAAACATGGCCCATTAGTCTGGTTACATGAGTGAAAACAGTATAATACATCAGAGATAATGGATTATTCATTGTAAGTTACAAGGATCACTAGTTTTTGTGATAATTTGCACGCTGGTTTAACAACATCCTCAAATTTAATGTTCTAGGCTAACAGATAATATAAAATATGTTTGAACACAACATGTGTTTTCTCATGTGTGTATGTGTGTATGTGTGTATAAGATCATCTTATATACAGTACAGGTAGTCCTCAATTTATAACAGTTCCTTTAGTGACTGTTCAAAGTTACAACAACAGTGAAAAAAGTGACTTATGACTGTTTTTCACACTTATGACCATTGCAGCATCCACATGGTCATGTGATTAAAATTCAGGCCCTTGACAAGTGATTCATATTTATAGCAGTTGCAGTGTCCTGTGGTCATGTGATCACCTTTTGCAACTTTTTGACAAGCAAAGTCAATGGGGAAGCAAGATTCCTTTAATAACCGTGCATGCTAGCTTGCCACTCACACAAATCTAGATGTGCGTGTGTGCGCATATGTACTGCTCATCCAAATTGAGTTGCATGCACGCCAGCTCTCAGTCATATAAGTTGAGCTGTGCTTATATGCATGTGCATGCTGGCCCACCGCTCACACAAGTGGAACTGTATGCGTACACACTGGCCTGGTTTTTGCACAAGTCGAGCTGCACATGTGCTGGCCCAATACTTGTGCAAGTCAAGTTGCATACATGTGTGCCAGCTAGCCACTCGCATGGTCCAGTTCTGAACAGGCCATGGCCCAGTAATGATCCCTGTCCTAATAGCAATGTCCATTATTTTTGTCTACATGTAATCCATACTGCTCTTCCACAAAGAAGAATGAGCCAATGGAGGCATCATACCTTAGTGTAGGGAAGTATCTCAAGACTCTACACTCCCACCTCATGTTTAACATCTGCATGAGAATGCTGGGTGAGGTCATCCATTGGACTGGGTTCGGATACCATCAATATATGGATGATGCCCAATCTTTATTCCAAACAAACCAGGTGAGGTTGTAAAATTCTTGCTTACATTTACATTTACTAAATGCAACCCAGAGTTGTTGTAGCATTAAGCACTTACAAAATTTTAAAATAAATAAAGTCAAGGGAGAAGCAAAGGCAGTGATTTTCTATCATCGTCCTTGCAGCCCTTAGCGTTCCATCTCAGTCTATGTTAGAGGATATCTTAATACACTGCCAAGCACCTCTTTAGAGTGAAGGTGGAAAATAAAAACATGAACAATACCATCTTCCTCCGGTATAAGTTAAGAGCTGCTAAGCATGTCTATCTATCATATATTCTTCTACCCTACAAAATGACCTAAACATAGCAGAAACTCATGGGCATAATGTCTCACAGATTACCAGGAGGAAAAAGATATTTCAAACAACACAGTAGTGCTGTAAATACTGCAATGCTGCTGCTGTCTAATGTCATCTTGATAGTGCATTTGTCAAAAGAATTAAAGAAAGGACGAGGGACACAGATTGCTGGTTGTATTTCTCCGTCACATTTGATTCTTCTTTTCACTTAAGGGTAAGTAAGTAGATACTGGAGAGGAAAATGATTTGACAAGAGTCAAAAAGAGCCTGGGTGCTAGATCCAGTGTGCCAAGCAGACACAAATGTAAGACAGTAATGAAGACTTTTTGATGTTGGAATTATTCAGTGTGGATTCCTAGGTATATATTTCAAATATAAATGTGGTCAGCTATGCTATTTGCTAAGGCAAGAGCCTAGTTTCTCCCCACAGACTTTAAAAACTGAAGATAAAATTCTCTAGATATCCTCACTGTTAAGTCTGGTATATATACATATATATTCCTTCATCTTAACTTGATACTGCTGGTTAAGATAATGGTATGCTTTCAAGATGTTTTTCGGTATGTCCTAGTTGCATATTCATTAGTTCTTTCTGCTATGATTTCACCTGCTGCTAATACATGCACAAAAAGTGATGAAATAAATAAATAAATAAAATCCTACCCAATATTATAAGCCTGTGGAACTAAATATAAATATGCAATGATCATACTACCTTTCCAGATCAAACTATGCCTGGACTTCTTTGATGTTTGAAAGAATGATTAAGAGTTTCATGCCCTAGATGCAGATGGAGAAATGAGTAGAAAATGATGGGTTTTCAACCCAGCAGCTGTCAATCAAACACTGTTTTTTTAACAAACTCTTAATAAAAGTAGAATAGAATACATGTTCCATAACATGTACAATAAGATAGTTAAAGAAAGAGAAAAAGGAATGTCCCAATTACAGCTCTTTCTTTCATGTGAATTATTTGTGGGTTACCAAAAAATAACATTTCTTTTCTATATATTACTGCAACAACACTTCATTCTTCCAGGCCCTGACATGATGGAGTTTCTAGGCACCAAATTGAATAACTGTTGCAATTTATATTATTTGCATAACGATCTAATGAAAATGATGTAAATATCCCATAATATTCTATTCCAGGGGTGTCAAACTCGCATCATTACCATAGTGTCACGTGACTTATCACAACTTTTTTCCCCTTCGCTAAACTGGCTGTGGGCATGGCCAGCGTGTGATGCATCTGGGCCACCAGTCTGACAGCCCAGTCCTATTCAGTTCAACTAATATTCCTGAGTACAAGTAGTCACTGACTTACATTAGTTTGCTTAATGACCGTTCGAAGTTACTATGGCACTGAGAAAAGTGACTTATGACCATTTTTCACACTTACAACCATTGCAGCATCCTCGTGATCATATGATCAAAATTCAGACGCTTGGCAACTGACCCATATTTATGACAGTTTCAGTCTCCCGGTGTCATGTGAACACTTTTTGAGACCTTCTGACAAGCAAAGTCAATGGGGAAGCCAGATTCACTTAACAACCATGTTACTAACTTTACAACTGCAGTGACTCATTTAACAACTGTGGCAAGAAAAGTCAAAAAATGGGACAAAGCTCACTTCACAAACGTCTTGCTTATCAACATAAATTTTGGACTCAATTGTGGTTGTAAGTCGAGGGCTACCTGTAACGAGCTCTCTTCCTGTAGTTCTGTGCCACTGTACTATTACAACATTAAATGAGGTTTTGTTATTCTGTAGATATCAGGAATTGATAACACAGGGTGCACAGGTGC